CAAGGGAGACACTGACCTGAAAGGAACAGGGTGCTTCGTGCATGCTTATGTGTCTGCTTGTGAATAAAAATGTCTTGAAAATGCCCTTGTTTTGTGGATGAACGTGAGCTCAGCGGTGCTCCTCAGGCACAGATGCTTCTCTCTGGTGCAGAGGCGTCACAGCAGCACCCAGCTCATTCTTGATGAAACCTGTGCTAGTGTTTTGAGGGGCCCAGTACGTACCAAGTTCTGCAAAAAGGTAATTGCTTAAACAAGCCTTGGTGTGAAGCCCTAGGACTTGATAGCAAAGTGAGGTATTTTTTTTTAACATTCCAGAGGTGCTAAGCCCTGTCTAAAAGCAAACATTTACAAATGTGCTATTTGAAACATACTAGGTAACGTGTCCCTAAACATAATTTAGTGCTGTTCAGCAAGTGCGATCAATGCCGCTGAGACCTCTGTCCCTGGCAGGGTCAGTGCAGCTAACTTGCTCCTACCACCAGTGCCTGTAGCTGCATTGTTATCCGGCTGAACGTGTGATCAAATGTGTCAGCCCTAACGAAAAAGGCGGCAGAGAGATGCAGCAGGGAGCGGCATGGTGTGGGAGGGCTGGGCTTGCCCCATTTGGCTGCAGCCTGGATTAGAACAACATAAATGATGTAAAGCTGTATCTCATGTCTTCTGGGACTGAAGAGAGACAAACCTAGCGGAGCAGCCTCGCTCCAGTGTGTTTTGTGTTTCCGGCTTGATCCAAACGAAGGGGCATCAGGTATGTCTGCGTGTAGCCTGCTGGCCTGCGTGCCTGTTGCCCTTGGAAGCATGGAGGTCTTTGGGGAGGGTGATGGGTGGCAGGGCTGGGGGGGAAGACACCAGGCCAGGGTGAGCAGGGAGCTGCGAGCCAGGTGTGAGAGAGCTGGTCTGGTTTTGCCTTCTGTGCCTTTCAGTTACGAACCAGGCAGGAATGTAGCCAGCGAGGGCGTGAGCTTAGTGGATAAGAGGCAGGAAGAGCAGTCGGTCCCTTCCGTCTCCATCCACCTCTCCCAGCTTGGCCTTGGCCTTCCCCCACCCCTTTAATTATTCATTAACTACAGCCCAGGAAGTGCTTTGCAAATGGTGAAAATTAAGCCCTCCGCCTGAGGCCTGTGGTTTGCCTGACCTGGAGCTACCTTCTTCTTAGTCCACCTAGGAACAGGCGGAGTTCGGGACTGTGCCTGTGCGGATCAGACACAGGTGAGTCACGGGAGGTGCCGCAGCCCCCACGCGCTGCCAGCTGCTCCTCCAGAGCCGCTGCCTCACGGCCATGAGCATCCAGCCCTGTCAGGAGGGTGCGAGTCCACCCTTCCTCTGTCGAGGTCTTTGATCTCTCTCCCAAGTCCCTCTCAAGATACTGTCTTGATAATTCCAATATTGCTTTATTTTCTTTAGTAGGACCCCCTGGTTAAGGGCTGTGGTACTTCTTCCACCAGCTGCTCCCATCAGTGGAGATCTGAGAGTCAAGATCCTGATGCCATCCTGTGGGTGAGTGCTGTGAATGCTAGTTAGGGGAAGAAAACGAGAGTTGTTGGTGAGAAAAATAAGAACACTGGCAGTAGGAATCGGGCACAGAAGGGAAAAAACCCACCTTCTAATAGGAGCTACAGGATAGCTGGAGGACTGGAGTTCGTGGTGTTCTAGATTGTTATTGCTGTTACTGTTGCTCCTTCTCACTTTGATAAAGAGCAAGCAGGGTTTGCGATGCCCAGTCCGCTGCAGTTAGTCTGCCAGCCAGTTAGGCTGCAGCTGCAGCATCTCTGAATGTTTTTGTGCAGAGAGAGGTCAGGTGGCTGACCTTTTAAATTGTGGTTATTTCTTGATTCGCTAGTCCTTTATGGAACAGCAGGACATAAAACCTTCATGGTCAGTCCAAACGGGTGCTCTGCTCTGGGGACTGCAGTGGCGTGGTGTAAGGAAATGGGATTCACACTAGCATTACTCTGTGGTAAGGATCTGGGCAACCATGATAGTCCAGCACTGTCCTGGGGTCCTGTGGCCTGACAGAGAGCATCTGGCTTGGGCAAGCCACAGGAGGATGGTCCATCTGCCCATTCCCCAAGCCCAGGTGGCCTTCACTCTGCACTAACAACTGACTTACGATGCAGTTCTGTGCAAAACGGGAAAAACCTCCTGTCTAAAGTCATCTCAGTGCTGAGAATTAGAAGTAGCAAATGCAATGCTGATTCTCAAAAAGGGCTCTAAAAGAGATCGCCCAAATGCGAGGGAAGCACAGAACAATAGAGTTGGTATCTGGCAAAAGGGTAGACAGTATAACAGAAAGCAGAGAGTGTGATATTAAAGAAAAAGTCAGCACCTGCTTTTGTAAAAGCAAATCTTGTCTTGTAAAACTGAAGTTTTTTGAGGGACTTGGCAAGCTTGTGGATAAGGCAGGTCTCGCTGATAACAGTTCCCTTGGATTTCTAAAAAATTATTTTACAAGATTTTCTCATCAAAGTCTTTATTTAAAGCTAAAGTCATGACATAAGAAAGAAGATGATGTTTTTCTTGGGTAAAGAATTAGTAGAAAATAGAAAACAGAAGGTGGGAATAAACATCCAGTTTTTACAGCAAAGGGAAGTCATCGGTGATGAGATCACAGGGGCCTAACCTGAAATATACACTGTTCAGTATATTCCCAAATGACCTGGAAATAAAGCCTGTATGGTGAGGTGAGAAAATTGGCTGGTGGTAGAAAGTTATTCAGGATAATAGGGTGGGAGCTGAGTCTGAATAATTGCAGAAGGACCTTATGATAGTGAATGAGTGAGCAAGAGAACAGCAGATGAAATACAAATATAGGCGTATGTAAAACAATGTTCATAGAGAAAAATAATTCAAAATTTACATATAAAACAATGAACTGTGAACTAATCATAACCTCTCTGGAGTAAAACTGTGATCAATGTAAGTCCATACCATTGTTAGCTTAATGCTTGGTTGTGGTGAATAAATAGCAGAAATCATCCCTCTGTATATATGTCCGTGTCTCACCAGCATCTTGAACACTGCAGTTCTGTGCCAGCCTTCACCCTTATGTCCAAAACAATACACCAGAGTTGGGAACACCTCAGAGAGGGACAGCAAAGGTGACCAGAGGTGTAGAAAAGCTCTGTATGAAGAACACCTAAATAGGGTTGGAGTCTTCAGCCTGGCAAAGAGCTGAGGAAGGATACGGACGTAATGGGTCTGTATCATGAGCAGCTTGGAGGGGGTGAATAGGAATCAGTCATTGATTTTTCTTTCTTTACAACAACCTTTCTTTCTTTACAACAACAACCTCTTTCTTTACAGATGTTAATAAAAATAAGGCAGGGAGCAGGTTATAAGCAGGCCAAAGGAGGGGGTGTTTCTGTAGCTAAGCAGTGGAACTCCTTGCCAAAGGATGCTAAATTTGTTATGGATTTGACGGTTGACTTTACAAGTAGCTGCAAATAGAGGCTTAGGGGGTACAGGGGGAAAAGAAGCTCCACGCGTAAACATCTTCCTCTACCCTTCCTTTGACTACCATTTTCATCTCTAGATCACCTAGTCCAACCCCCTGCTCACAGAAGAGCTCACCCCAAAGCTAGATCAGGTTGCTCAGGGCCTTGTTCAGGTGAGTCCTGAACACCTCCAAGAGCGGAGATTCCCCAGCCTC